GTCTTCTTCTTCTTCTCCTAGCTCGTAGTCTTGCGCCTCCCAACCTGCGCCATCCTCTCTCTCCCTCTCTTCTTCTTCACCCTCAGTGGATTCAAGTTTGCCAGGAAGGGGAACACTCAAGGATGCAATGAGAAATCTAGTGACCGGCTGTCCATGCACATGGTCTTTTCCGGGTTTCCACGGTCCTACCAGATCCATGCTCAAACAAAAGGTGTTAGACCCATGATGCTTCTGACGCCGATGGATGTGCGACCGCATCTGTCCCTGCAGGCACGCACGGCAATCCTTTCGAAAGACCATGTGCCCGCCTGCGCGCGGAATTCCCGCTCCTTCTGCGTTAAAGCCTTCAGAGCGACCCTTCCCTCTTCTTCACTCTCTCTCCTATCTTCTTCTGTCGTTGCAATCCATCCACGGACTGCCTTGCCAACGGCCTGACACAATCCAGCAGCCCATTTAGCCCAACTACCAGAGGCTTGAATTCTCTCACTCAAGATGGTGGACATGTCTTGCAAGTTGCAGCCCGTCCCTGGTCCTCTCAGTTCATGTAGGGTCTCGAACAACTCCCAGCTATTGGTGAGTACTGCGTGCGGTTTGCGTACTGTGTGGCCTAAAGCTCCCTGGTCGAACTGAGCCAGGAACCACGAGTGATCCGAAGGAGCAGCAGCTCCCTCTTCATGATCGGGATGGTCCAGCATGCTTGTGCCGGCTCCTGCCTTTGAATTACTACCTTCCAGCAAGGCCAAGATCTCGGGCCAAGCCCACAAACTTGGAATTTCACTATGCCGTCGGGATTCGGGAAGATAGGTCATGGGGTCCTGCGGATTCTCTAGGGCACACATAGTCCTACGAGGGTTGAAAACATCAGCAATGTGATGCAAAGTGAGGAACCGAGTGATCAGGATGGTATGTTCCTCCACCTTGGGTTGCTCACTCACAGTGTTTGTAGGCAACCCGAACCGTAACAACCCAGTTCTACTCCGAACAGGCCTCGGGCCCCCGTCTGAGCCCCCCTGATTCTGATCACTCCCTCGCCCCCTCAACACGCTATTAGTGCAACACGGTGGTCCTCCCAGAACCGCATCCACCTTGCCCGTACTGCACAATGCGGCTGCTGCAGCGTATACCCTCTCATCAAGGACATTGCTACCATACAGTACATCCAGGTTCACAACCGCAATATCACTACCCAAGGCAAACTCTACCGGCTTGGTTCTCCCGGAGAAGACGTGCAACACTATATGCTTTGCCTTCTTCAGGGCCTTTCTGGCACGACGATTGAGACCGGGAATATGATAAGGACTTTGACCCTCGTACCCATCCCTCACAGGCAAGCTCCGAAGAAGCAACCAATCTGGAGCCTCCGGGAACCTGTCTTTCAGCCATGTTATCAACTCTTGATCAGAACCCCCAAGGTTCTGCGGTCCCAAAGGCGTAGGAGACTCTAATCCCAAGCTTACAGCTCTAATATGCAAGGCCTGTCTCAGTCGACTAGCTCGAAACTGCTCAATCTCTCGGATCAAATCCAAACAGTCCCCTTCCGAGAACACTGGACAGTTATCCTCCAACCACACCTGCAGCTCCCCCCGAGTGGGATGCTCCACTGTACACTGGCCAGCATTCCATGTTACTCTGCATCCTAATAAGTCCACCAACAGTCCAAGAGGGGCTATTGGATCCTGAGACAACACGGTGCCTACCGGCGATATGCGCAGTTCCTGGGATCCCACGGCCAACGCAACCCTAGTAGGAGTAGCCTGTTCCCACTCTCCCTCTTTAGCAGTTCTCAGAGCATGCGTTGCCCCTCCATCAAGCAGGCCAGTAGGCATGCGTGACCTTCGAATTGCAACTGCAGGAACAAATATCTCAGGATCCGGTATCACTTCAGTAGCATTAACCCTGCGCCTCTCTTCTTCTGGGTTTTCGGGTCCGTCGCTCTCACCTTGTGTCGCTCCAATTCTCTCAGGACTCTGCTTTCTCCCCTCACCAACTCTCATGGAGGCAATGCGTAAGGACTTAAGAAGTTTCTGAGCTTCCTCGAGAACCTGGGCATGTGCATTAGCGACATTTTGAGTTTGATTCTGCGAGGACTGCGATACACCTTTGTTGCCTGGGACTCCCCCCAGAGTAGCCACTCCGCCGTCCGCAGACACTTTAGCAGCCAATGGGACAGGGTTTGTGAGATTGCTGGAGTCAGCGGCATCACCTCCTACTCCTAGGCTCCCAGCCGGCGTACTGGATGAGCTACCCTTGGACCCCTTGCCTTTTCCCTGGACACTCCCATGCGGTTTCCCTCCACCTGTTGGTCTGGTACAGTCATTTTGTCGATGCTCCGTGGAACCACAGTTATAGCATCTTGATTCGCCCTTCGCCTTCCCGTATTGATGGACAAACCCGCATTGGCGACCCTTGCTGCACCCCTTGGGCGTAAGGTAGAAACTGCATGGTTTTCCTTCGCTCTTCCCCGAAGCTTTCGCCTCTGTTTTTGCGGCATCCGTACCACTTTCAAGAGCTTGATCATTTCCCTTGCGTTTCCCCTTGCCCTCACCGCCTTTTCCCCCCGTGTCCTTCCCTTTGTTACCCCCGCCATCTGTTCCCTGTTGTTGCACAGCTGCTAACTTAGGCTTCTTATTGCTATCGACCGGTGCAGCAAGTGATAGCATCTCAAACTCAGACTGCACAACCTTGACAACTCGCGCACGCTATGCAGGGTAGGTCTATGATCCAATTGCAGCGAGGTTCTCGCTTGACTACACCTAAAGCTGACATGAGGATTCTTCTTCAGCAATGGGTCCGCGGTCCGCTAGCAAATCAAGTCCCCGCGACATGAGAGATGCATCCGGCGCACTGACATGCATAGCCAGGGCGCGATATAAGGCACGACTCCACGCCCGGAGTTTCTGAACAGCTTCGCTGGGGGAATTAGTAGTGCCAGGATTACTCAATACCTCTAGCAAGGTTGTCCTCTCCTGAAGCCCTCCCGGCTGGAAGGTACGCAAGATATGGTACAACAATGCCACGCAATGAGTTTCACGATTAGCAACTACGTCATCCCTAACCGATAATGGAGCCGCCGCTAAAAGCATCGCATAGGCCCTGCTTTCCAACCTCCGGTATCGCATCCCTTGAAGTTCAACAGAAGGTTCAGGCCTAATGAGTCCTGGTTCAACTGATGGCGATTGGGTCCAAAGCTTGTACCACTCTTGAGATTCAGCCAGGACTCTATTCCACCATACCCCTGACATAGGTGTGATATCATTCATTCTTGGAGTGACCATCTGAATCCAATCACTGGCCCTCGTGGCTGGATCCGGTTCTTCGTGTGTGCCAGCTAGCACAGGCAGCTGCCAATACACCTTATCCCCCGGAGCATATGGATCTCGTGATGTCTCAGAGAAACTGGGCAAGGGAGGAAGACAAGAATTTCCAGGAGTGCTATTGAATCGGTTTAATCCAGGCTCGTTTCAACCAGGCTCATGTGGAATTGCTTGAGGCCTACAAACTGGAGGATCCGGACTCATGCTAGGATACAGTTGAGGAACCACTCCTACAGAGGCTGTCGCATGACTAGGTTCAGCAAATCCAATTTGGGTTCCTACAAGGCCTTGATGCCTCCCACTTCCAAGCGGCATCGCAAGCGCACTCTGAGCACTTTGAAACCCGGAACATGCTCCAACTTCATTAGGGGGCCCTCTATACTGACCCTGAACTCCCCCAGTAACCCCAACAGCCGGATCTCCGCGGTCAATGTCCCTAGGTGGAGGATCACGGGGCACAGGAGTTCCTTGGGGGGTAGTGTTGCACCCTAGATACAAAGCACGGCTCTCATTTGGAGGTGGAGTCATCTCTCTAAGGGCGGCTGGGGAATTGCCAAACGAGGGACTATAGGTCTTATTAGGAAAGGCTCCTACTTCACCGGAGGCATTCCCGGCATCTACTCGCCATCCTACAGTAGCTTGAAGCATCTCCTTAGCGGCCAGATATCCCTGTTGGTACCCCTCCTCATACTTAATAGATCCCAACACAGCCCTATCCCCTTGGGAGCCTATCCCCATCCCCCCTAGGTTGGCTAGAACCTTGCTGCTCAACACTGTCCTGGGCTTCCTCTGCTGAATGCCATGCTGTTTGGTTTGTAGATCGTTCCTCTTCCAGGCGAAGCACTCGCCTCATAAGAGCATCGTTTTGCCCCTTAAGATCATCATTCTGCTGCGATATGTGGAGCATTGCCTCCTTCATCGCACTCAAGATGTTTCTTTCACGCACGGATAGTCCATGCTGTTCTGTAGCTGCAGCCCCACTACTCTCCGGAGGATGATCCCCAAGAGCACTTCCTGCCCTTTCAGCTACATTTACACCCACTGAATGTTCGATCTCCACAGTTTCAGCCACCGTCGTTCTCAACGCCGATGGTCCCAGCATTAGAGGAGGTCCTGATGGGCCTTGAAACCGGTCCACTCCATGCTCAGCTGTTCTCAACTCTGTGGACGAACTAGAGTGAGTCTCCGCAGCTGTACCAAGAAAATTTTGCAACTGCCACTCTTCTTGTGCTCGCTGAGACCAGAAAGGATTTGCTCCAGGTACTGTCAGTGCCTGTGACTCCCCAGCTCCAACACTATTCTCCATGTCTACGGAACTTCGAGGCCTCCCTTCCGCCTCTCCAGTGGATTCTGCACCCCTATCCGTCTCTCCAGAAGAATTTTGGGCTCCTTGAGTCACCCCCTGCCCCTGATCAGCGCCCACGCCCTTTCCAGTGCGTCGCCTAGATACCATTTCCATTGCTAACTAAGCGTTGGGCTCATAGCCTGCGAGCGGAGTTCTACACTCAACTCTTTTCTCAATGGATCAAAAAAGGCCTGCATCGTAAGACGTTCCCCTCATGGTATGCTTCTGCTGGAGCGTGTTTCCACACCCTAAACCCTAAACCCCTAAACCCTAAACTCTAAACCCTAAACCCTAAACCTAAAATGCCAAAAACTAAGCCGGGTGAAACAAACATGACAGAGGAAGCCTCCGGTCACGCAGGCCGCCATCACATAATGGTACTAATAGTAATAAGATAATAGTAATAATGGTATTAATGGTAATAACAGTAATGATAGTAATAGTAGTAATAATGGTAGTAATGGTAGTAATAGTAATAATAGTAATAATGGTACTAATGGTAATAATAGTCATAATAGTAATAAGGGTACTAATGGTAATAACAGTAATGATAGTACTAATAGTAATAATAGTAATAATAGACTTTGTTTCATTGGGCCTGGCTTTGTGTTGGGGCTTTGGGTTTCTGGCCTAGGGCCCAAGGTAGGTTGGGATCCTGAGGTTTAGGCTGCCGGGGCTTTACGCCCCCATCTGAGGTCTGAAAGAACCCCCAATTAGGGGGTTATCTGTTGGCTTCCCAGGTTTGTCAAGTTTGGAAGCTCTCTAACAAGCCTTCCTTTGCATTATTGTTTTTCCACGGACTGGTGACGGAACCCAAGTTTTTTCTAGTTTCCACAGGCATGTCTAATACGAAGTAGATTTCCGCTTGCCCTCGTCATCAAGTATTCCCCTCCAGTGTTTAGGGGAGGCCATCTTGCAATTTCGTAGTAGTCATAGTACTAGTAATAATAATAGTAGTAGTTGTTGTCATGATAACAGTAACGTCGTTGCGGCTAGGCTGGGTAGCTCAACGCCGAACTGCTAGATCACAAACACCAACCCCAAACTTACCGATGGCTAGACATCTCCCATGTGTGAATGGCAGCTGGAACGGTAGCTCATTGCTACCATCATGAGCTCTGGTGCAAAAGCACAAGGAATGACAGAATGCAAAGGCCTCGTCCCCAGTGGCACCCCCTTTGTGTTTCATGAGTTCCTGTCTAAGACTAGACTCTCCCACCACCTTTTATTCAAGCCGATGTACCTGCTTTTACGGGCCATACAACCCCAATTCAGGGTACAAGAAGGTTCTTGTCTAAGCAACACTGTTTTGGGAGTCCTAAACCTTGAAAAGAACTACAACCCTAACCCCTAAACTCTTAGACCCTAAGCTCCTAAACCCCGAGCCCTAAAACCCGGCAGGCACTGTTTTGGGAACTCCCGCCTACATGTCGCCTGAGCTTGTCTCGGGCAGCCCCTTATCTGAAACTAGATTGCCCTCTCTCAGAGCTTATGACTTAGGATTTAGGGTTTAGGGCTTAGGTTTAGCAAGTAGGGCTTAGGGCTTAGGATTTCAGGGTTTAGGCAGATCGGTAAAAGCTGGGTACCGCAGGAAGTATTTACTGTAGGAGGATCAAAGTGGAACACGATGTCTCCCAAAAACACGTTTCCTCAATGTAGACACCGAAACATTATGATCCTCGTTATGGCGGCCTCCAAAAGGGGACTGCAAATTCTTATCAAGCCCCATGCACTTAGTTCGAGGATCAGGATCCACATTCTAAATTGCAGGCTACTAAAAGACTGCTTGATACATATTCTTTTCCAACACCAAACTTAAACCCTAAACCTCTCTACCCTTCCTATCAGTAACATGGGAAACCCATATAGCCCCCTTTACAACAGACAATCAGCTTCCAAAGACCGTGTTTGGGGTTCAATGTTAGTTTTCAAGGGTAGAAGGAGGCACTGTAAAGCCCAAGTCAAGATCTTTTGGTCTCTTTTACTTACTCGTACCTCCTCGCACCATCATGGATTTGTAACATGCCTACCTAAACTTTAAACCTTAAATCCCAAACACCAAACCCTAAACTTGCTGGTTCTTAGAAGGGAATATAATCCCGATATGATCCCTACATAATATATTCCCGTGTTTCCTACTAAATACAAGGAAGTAAAACTTAACATATAAGCCCTACAAAGCCCCCTAAACCCTTAAAACCCTACAAACCCTATAAACCCAACACCGAGAAACAAACCTTACCAACCAGGACCTCATCTTACTCGTTCTTAGTAGCGAAGAAGGGAAAATACTCCCTATATGATCCCCATATAATTCATTCCTTTATTCACTACTAAGAACCAGTAAGTAAAGCCCAACATAAAAGCCCTCTAGACCCTTTAAACCCTAAACCCAATAAACCACAAACCTTTAAAAACCCTGTAAACCCGATAAAGCCTATAAAGCCTATAAACCCTACATCCTAAAAACAGACCTTACAACCCAGGTCCTTGTCTTACCGGTTCTTGGTGGGGAATGAGGGAGTAGAATCTCGATATGAGCCCTATTTTGTACATTTCCTCATTATTCCCTTCTCAGAACAAGTAAGTACACCCTGCTAAACCCTAAACCCCCCCATATTATACGATGAATTCCCATATTCCCTACTGAGACCCAGGACCTTATGGGACCGCTGCTGATGCCTGGGCGCTGGGTGCCTGTCGCTGGGACTCCGCCAGTTTTCTTACTGGGGCTTAGTAAGGAATATGGGAATTTAGTATATCCTAAACCTGAAACCCAGGGATTATATAGGGATTATGGGAATAATTTAGGGTTATATGGGGTTTTAGAGGGATTATACTCCCTTGTTCCCTACAGAGAACCAGTAAGCAGGTTTTGTGTTGATCTAGGTTTGGCCGTTATTATACCTAAAACGACTCTCACGTGGACCCCAAACAGGGAATCCGAGAGATATGGCCAGTTACTGGGTGGGGGCAGAACCCTAATCATCCTGAAGGTCTCTTTGAGCTGGCATCACTTAAGCGGCCCTTCGATGCCTCGAACCAGCTTCTTGGCTGTAAGGTTTTGCCGGGTTTAGAGTTTAGGGTTTAGAGTCTAGGGTTTAAAGTTTAGGGTTTACAGTTTAGGGTTTAGGGTTTAGGCAGGTTTTGTAGGATTTGAGGTTGGCTTTAGGGCTTCTATGATTGGGACCTTCAAACATGCTTCCTAAGTAATCTGGATTTCTCCTGAAGGGCCCGACGCACAGAACATGGGGTTTGATAGGGGCTATAAAGGGATAATGGAAAAGAACATGGAAACTGTAGGAATTATAGGGAACAACGAAGTTTCATAGGGGTTAAATAGGGATAATGGAAAAGAAAATGGAAACTATAGGAATTATGGGGAACATCACTGCATGTGTGTTAAAATGCTGGACCACGATCTTCTCAATAACGTCGTCCTCGAGAGCTCGGTGAAGGCTTTCTCTGCGAAACCGCACGTAGGGGTACCACAAGTGCCAGGGGTGCTTTTTCAAAGCATTTAGCGTTTCCTGGGATTTGTCGTAGTTGCCCTAAATTGGGGAGTCCTTGTTATAGGGACCCTACAAAGCCAAAAAGGTAATCCTGATTTTGGGAAACCCCTTATAGATCCCTGACGCATTACCAAAGTTGATTCATCCTTCTAGGTATGGGACCACCTTTGAGCCTCTACCGATTCTGGCGCGGCAAAGTTTACAGTTATATTCAGCCCTCTACAGGGGTCGTATATGGTAGTGTCCAAACATAGGAAGATCCCAACGTAGACCCCAAAATGCTGCAATCCTCATTTTAGGGACCCCCCCCCAAAACAAGAAATCCTAACATCACCTGATTTTGAGAAGCCCCACAAACCCTGTATCCCTCTGTAACCATAGCTTCCGAATTTCCTTTTAATTTTTCATGTGGCTTCCATGTGATCCCTCATTATTGTGGCGAACGTCCCTCAACCCTAAACCCTCCAAGTTATCTGGGTTGCTGTTAAGGAACTTTAATTAAGTTACTATATTGGGGGAACCCTCTTATTTACTATATATACACCCATTATGGTAACCCTAAAC